CCCCCCTCTACTTCTGTTAACCTCGACTCTTCCCCACGCAGGGGTAGCTAGCCTAGTGGGGAAGAGGGGTTACTGATTGGACGTCTGGGCGACCTGCACATGTTGCGGATGATGTGCCGTGCCGCTCTGTTGTCCAAGCAGCTGCTGCTGCGGCGGCGGCCCATGCTGCTGCTGCTGCTGCGGCGGCTGCCCATGCTGCTGCTGCTGCTGCGGCGGCGGCCCATGCTGCTGCTGCTGAGGACGATGGGAAGATCGCGGCGTCATCTGTTGAACGCGATGATGAGGAGGAGGTTGTGGACGGTGCTGCTGTTGCTGCTGAGCCCCCGGGCCGAGCTTCTTGGTGATTCTCGCGTCATACATTGGCAATCCCACGACCTGGTAGATGTATTTCAACAAGTCCTCCTCCGTGATATTGTCCTCTATGCTGGCCCTCACCTTCTCGTACACATGGTACGCATTTGGCGTGGTTTTGTCCGGTCTTATTCTCATAAACTCCCAGGCCTCCTCCTGTTTGTTCCACGAACATTCGATGATGTTTCCCGCCAACTTCTCCGGATCTTCGTCTTTCAACGACACCTTGGCATACTCCAGCACCCGCAATCTCCCGCCTTTTTCCATCAGATACAACGCGGGCACGTCCTTTTCGATCTTCAAGAGAAAATCGACAGAGTTCATGTGCGCATACTTCCACTTCAGCAGCCCTTCGTGTGTCCGCGGCACGTAGATCTCGTCCCAGCACTGAAAGATCAGCCCGTCCGCCTCATGGCTCAAGGCTTTCATAAACTTCCCCAGAAGGTCCTTCGTCGCCGTAAGCTGGTAGAAGTCCTTCCTGCGGACGCGAAAGGGTTCCGCCTTGTATTCATACTTAGGGTTTAGGAACTCCTCCTCCCGTCGGGGCAAAATGATCTCCTCCTCAATCAATCTCCACCGTTCGCTGAAGGGAAGATTCACGATCGGAGCGTTCCCAAGCATCATGAGATCGTAGACCAAGTACCTTCTTGTCTTGACACCTGTCGGCTCCGTGTCGATGACCATCTCCCCATCAAGCAGAGTGAACGCGTGAGTCTCCCCTAGCCGGTCTTTCATAACCTTGCCCCTTAGCGGGAAACGCATCTGCACCCGCCGACACCGAAAGGCCCGATCAATCAGATACACCCCATCTCTAGTGATCAGAAGCATGTACCGAGTGCCATCAGCCTTCCACGTCACATAATAATACTTCCGCCTTAAGAGTTCCAGGTTCTTTCGGTCCAAGGAAACGGGTTGGGAACCGGGAAATCGAAGATCACGATGACGATGATGATGATGATGATGATGATTATGATTATATCCTCCGCCTCCTCCTGCCTGAGGCAACATGTTAAACGCCCAACAGCAGATTTTCTGAAGCTCAAACTGCTGCTCATCTGGAATAGCCACTCCTAAGATGTCATCGTTGGTCATCTTGGAATCCTCCGCCTCCTTACCTCCTCCTCCTCCTCCTGACGGGTCTGTTTTCGCAGACGCGGCTTCCCCGGCGGGTTTCCCGCCACCGCCGGTCTCCTCCTCTTCTCCATCATCGTCGTCGTCGCTCTTCTTCCACTCCGGTTTTGGCGGGAACTCGATCGATTCCACCCCTCTTTGATGATAGTTGCAGAACAGCTCCCTGATGTAATCAGCCTTGTAAATTCCAGGAGGCCTCACCCTAGCAAACGCCTTCAGGTGCTCCTCCACACTCCCTCCCACTGTCCTTAGCAAGTAATTGATTATCATATACCCCGTCCGATTAAACCCATGAGTGCAATGAACGACGACGTACTTGTGTTGCTGCTGTCCTACTCCCCCTCCCCCTCTTCCCACTGGCGCCGCGAAATACCGTAGCAGCTCAAATACAAACCGATTGACGGACTCTGCATCTGGCGCCTCTCCCTTCCCTCTGCACGGGATCTTCAAATGCTTAACATTGTGAGCCGTCCACTCCTTTTCCATGTAGTATCTCCGAGTATTCGTCAGATCTATCACCAGTCCAATCTGCCGCGACAGCGCCTTTTGCTTCTGAATCATGAGAGCCGGAGTGAATCGCCCGCCGGGCTTTATCAGATCCTTGAACGCCTCCCCTAATGGCACCTTGCACGGTACCAATTTGCCCAACGACTCTCCAAAGCAAGGGCACTCTACCCATCCCTCAGGCATATGACCTATGCGTTTTGCCCCCGTCGTCGTCGAGGGTTTAGCACAACTCTGAGCCGAAGGCGGCGGGAGAGAGGAAGGAGCAGTAGCACACCCCCCCCCCCCAGCAGCAGCAGAAGTCACCACTGACCTACCCCCTCCACCGCCTCCCTTCTTTCCCTCTGCTGTGGCTTGACGCTTTCCCGCTGCTCCTTCCCCCTTTGCCATCTCCTCCTCCCTCCTCCTCTTCATCGCTTCCCTCCTCTTCTGTCTCTCTGATTCCAGGAGTCCCCTCCCACCTCGGGAATCCTGCTCATCCCCCGATCGCGATAGGTCAACGATCCGACTTTCCCTCTGGGTACTACAACTGCCACCACTGATCCCGCCGCCGCCATAGCTTGCTTGACCCCCCCCCCCGTTTCTATGGCTGGGGAACTCCGTGCGCTCGTACTCCATTCCCGCAAACAACCCCTCCATACCTTCTTCCTTCTTCCCCAACCCATCCTCGTCGTCGTCGTCGTCGTCGTCCTCGTAATCATCGCCGTTCTGATGATTAGTCACGGCCGCCTCCAATTCCAATCTCAGCAGCTCGTCTTCGTCATCATCTTCTACTTTCTCACTTGCACCACCCCCCTCCTCTTCCCCGCCGCCGATTGCCCCACTAGTACCGCGGCCATCGCCGCCACCATAGCCACCATAAGCGGCGCCGTCGTCAATACCCCCTGGTGATTGGTGCTGGTTTCCTCCTGCTAATAGATCTACACTTCCAGGCATTGCCTGTCCATGGGGGATATGGCTGCCGTCGTCGTCCTCGTCATCATCATCATCGCCATCGCCGTTTCCATAAGAATCTTCGTCACTGTCCGACTCGCTGTCATCTTCCTCCTCCCCTGCACCCACTCCCCCCAACTCACCCACCCCTCCTGAATCAAATTCACAGTTCATGTCCAAGGGGTCTGGGTACTGATTTAAATCCACCATCGTGTTCGTCTTATACTCTGCCATTTGAATCTTTGCCCTTGCCGTACGTCCTTCCCCTGGCATCATCCTCCCTTCTATCCTCCCCGCCCCTTTCTTGCAGTCGATCGCGTTCTCTTCTTCCTCCTCCCTCTCTCTCGCTTCCTGGCTCTCTCTCTCTCTCTCTCTCTCTCTCTCTCTCTCTCTCTCTCTCTCTCTCTCTCTCTCTCTCTCTCTCTCTCTCCGTGTGTGTGTGTGTGTGTGTGTTACACAAACACACACACACTCACAGACGCAGAGGTGGTCGCGCGAGGAGCTTTTCCTTAGTCTCAATAGTTCGGCGTGATGGCGCCACGAAAACCCATCGGCGCGCAGTGCCCGTCTGACCGTGCCACGTGTCGTCCATGGTTTGCTATAGAGCAGCTGCTATGCATGGGACGACGAGCGCTTGCGCGCGCCTTCCCGCGAGGGATTGCGAATAGGCTACCGCTTTGAGCTGGTTGCTGTGCGGCGCGCAGTGCCCGCCGACGTTGACCCTGCGTGCTTCTCCACCGTCATGTCTGTCCGTCGAGCGACACGCTCCTGAACAAGCGCAACTAGCAGAAGTGGTCGCCGCCGTTGCCCGCCCACCCCCGTCGCCGCGCACTCCCGCCAACCAACATGCTCGCCAGCGCCCGCCCTCACACGACGCTGCGAGCGCCTCGCGGGTGAACAGCGCTTAGTGATTCCGCCCGCCTCTCCCGCGCCTACGCTTGCGCGGCGCAGCTAGCGCCTCGCCGCTGAAAGCGCTTACTGATCAGTGATCACTCACCGCCTCTGCGCCTTCGCAGGACTTGCGCCCGCGCGCTCCGCTCCCACAATGCCCGCGCGCTCGCCCATGAGAGCGCAAAACACGGAAACGAGCGGCGCCGGTGCACACCTACCTGGTAGTATCCACTCTTTTTTGTCGCTAGCGAGCGAGTATCAATTCGCGCCCCCTTGCCATCCCGCCACGTCATTCAACGGTCGGCTTCGGCTCGCCACCGTGGCGCGCACTACATCACCATCCACCGTGGCACAAGTTGCGCAGGAGCACAGGAGCGCAACAGATCGGCCCCGCCGACGGATCACAGACTTAGCTGACATTGACCGTCCGTCCACGCGCCATGGGAGCGCGTACTTGGGATTCTCCGCCTCTCTGCTATTGCCTTGCGCCCCCGCGACACAGCGCTTGAGCGCGCTGCTATCTTAGGTCGTGCTACTACTCGCCCCCGCTGCTATGTTCTCCGCCCTGCTCGTCGCAGCCGCGCGGCTCGGTGCCGGACCACACCAGACCAGGGTGCCGCTCCCACCGCGGCTGGTTCCACTTTGGGAATTGGTTCCACAGCCGGGACACTTGGTGCCAGTCTAACCTGGGTGCCGGAGAAAGGCCCCACTTGCACGGATTACTAGATTCTGACCGTTGATCTGTGCTATCTACGGTCAATATCTCTTAATTCGTGTAAGTGGGACCTAGCCCCCGGACTACCGCCGGGGCTGGCTTCCGCGCCGCTCGGCGCCCGACCAGGGTGCCGCTCCCACCGGCTGGTTGCCTTTCGGAGCTAGCGTCGTGCCCCGAACACAGCGCACCCTGAAAACGAACGTATACAAGCTATATTTGCGGCTCGGTACAGCGATAATGAGGGTGCGTTGTGTTCGGGGGAAGGCGGAAGATGCGCAGCCCTGCCGGTTGGTGCCAGACCAGGGCGCCGCTCCCACCACAGGGCTGGCTCCGCTTTCGAACTCGTTCTCCAGCCAAGCCAAGCCAAGCCAAGCCGCGCAGTACCGGACTAGGGTGCCGGTGCAACAGCGGCTGGGACCGCTTTGGAAGTGGTTCCGCAGCCACACCGCTCGGTCCCAAACCAGGGTGCCGCTGCCGCTTTGGAACTGGTTCCCCTTTGGAACTGGTTTCCGCTTTGGAACTGGTTTCCGCTTTGGAACTGGTACCACTTTGGAACTGGTTCCGCTTTGGAACTGGTTCTGTATCTGCACCACTCACCAGGTTCGGAGCCGACAAAGATGATTGCGGGTGCATCTGGGTGCATCTTTCCACACCTTCTAGGTCAAGATACCGCGCCAGTTCACACATTTACTGAGTACTGCCAATACATATACATATATACCCGCTTTAGTTTTTGTCGTTTTTGTCTTTTCCAGACTTGCTGGGTGGTCCAGCGACGCGTGCCGGCCTCACGGGTGCTATGTTCTCAGACCGTAGGCCACGTGTATGCAGCCTTATGCTCTTTTTGTTTTTTTTTATAAAGAGGGCTGCGCCGCACTCTGCTGCAATGCAATACAGAGGCATCACTGGAGGGGTCTCTTTTTGTGGTCCTGCATGGTCAGGGATGCTGTGAGGCAGAAGGTCAGTAGGTTGGTCGTCACACAAACTAAGGGGCTTGCCACACCACTGTCGAAAGGCAAAAAAAATCAACTGTTATAGCGTTAAACACGGGGACGCAGCCATTCGGGTCGCATGTTTTATGTTCTAGACAACAAGTTTGGCAAAGGTGTTATGAAGTGGGGGATGGGCAGCCTTCTGGATATGGTAGGCTAAGGGCCAGACGTTGCAAAATGCATTCCTCATACCTAGAAGTGCATTCCTCATATATGCTTGCAGTAGCATGTTTAAACCACCAGTACTTTTGCAAGTTGCGCCTTGTATACGACTAGCCAAATGAAAAATGGTGGCATTTCCACTTGACTGAATTTGTACCAGCACCCCGGAACCGTTCACGCCGAAAGTTGCAGCCCGGCAGCCATATATGAGTAGTGACTTTGGGAAGTACCGGTGGTTTAAACCACCAACACCTTTCTCAGTTATTGATGCCGAGCCTAAAAATGCCCTGCGCACGCTGAGCCTGAAAGTGAACGGTACTGGTACCATCCGATTTTACGAGATGAATTGGTGAGCATAGGTCCGCCGGGACTTCATCATGGAAAGCGGTGAACCTCCGTTGGCCGGTGCTGGAGCATTTGCTCTGTGACCAGGGGAGCTTGAGGCCATTGAAGTTATGCCGAGGGTGGAAGGCATAACCATCTTGCACGAGGTAGTTGTTGCTGGGGCGGTGACCCTGCAACCTTTTGAGGGGCCTTACAGTTAAGAGAGTTGTCGAGGGGACTTGAACAATGGTGGGGCGCAGCGCAACCGGGAGCGCTGCGCCCCCGCTGGAGCACCGTCGGAGCGGACGCGGCGCGACGCAGGAGCTAACGGAGAGTCTGGCGATGCGGTGGGCAGGTGGGGGCTGTGGGCGCGAGATTTGACAGCGGGAGGGTAGAGATGATGTGGCGCGACTTGGTGTGGCCTGCCTTTTGAAAACACAGGTGGTGCCATCTCCGGCTTCATGCTTCACCTAGTGACGCTGCAGGCCAGAACGTTGGATGAAAGGAAGTCTGCCTTTGAAAGGGGGCGGGTGTTCATGAGATTCTCGGCATAGTGGTTGCCTTTGCTTCTCTGCCTGCGTAGTTTTGTGGAGGATGGTCGGCTGATGCAGGCCAAAAGGGAGGAGCGCGTCCTCACGTGGAGTGGGAGGAGGATTGGAGGCGACATCGAGTCCGTGGTTTTTGAAGAAGGGTCAAGCGGTATCGGCAGCAGCTGCGTTTTTTGTCACGAGGGCATCTGGAGTGCGAGGGCGCCGTGGTCGAGTTTTTTTTGCCTTGTTGATTGCATCTTGAGGATGAGGTTGGCTTTTCTTTGGATAGTCCCTCTCGCTGATCATATGTGTATAATGGTTTCAGTCATATTCACCAATCTGGATTACTTCAATTTGCGTAGCTGATGTTTACCAATGATAATGATCTAATTAGGTTTTTTGAATTTTGTCTTCTCTATTCTGAATTCACTCGTTTGCTTTTTCTAGGTTGTAAGTCTGGATATTCTTTCTAAGTGATGATGATCTGATTCAATTTTCTGTTGGTGGTTCCTTCTGGTAATATGGTTTCTTGAAAATATATTTTTAAACTTTTTCGTCCCATACATCTTTGCTAAACGTTTCTCAAACTGTGGTTTGAGAATCTGATTCGAAAATCCTTTATGGATATCTAAACCTAAACTTCGTATAATTTCTCATAAATTTTGTCACTCGGTAGTTTTCCTTATCATTGATCGTATGGTCTTGATTTTTTTATTGATTTCTGATACAAACTCATTCTGATCTTCGATGCCTAAAAGTAGGCTATTGTAGTATTTTTTCAAAACCCTATGGTTGCTAATCATAACACCGTGCGGTAAATTTTGATTCGAGTTGGCTTCCTCTGTTTGCAAATCTCAACTTCCTGGTCTTGAGGGGTGTAATTGTGGCTTGCTATGTATATGTGTGGGGTCTTCCTTGAGGAATGGAGTCTCCCCCCGTGAGGGTTTCACAAGGTAAGAGGTGTTATTCTTGGAGGGGGGAGGCAGTATTGGGGGATTGTTGTCTCTTAGCCGGACTGATCTAGGGTCGGATCAGTACTGGCGGGTGGGGAGAGAAGCCACGGGGGTGGCTGCTTATAGCAGTGTGTTAGGATTTTGTTTTTTGAGGGAAGGAGTGTCTTTGATGGTTACACAGTGAGCCAAAGGGGGGGGAAGCTAGATTTGAAGGAAGGAAGGTAGTAAGGGGATTCTCAACAGAAAGGGTTGTTTGTTAGGGTAAGTTGTTGGGGCAACACAGGCCGCTGCTGGAGCCTCTGCTCTATAACCAGGGGGAGCTTGAGATCTGTGAAGTTATGTCGAGGGTGGGAGGCATAACCAGATCGTCTGACGTAGTTGGCGCCGGGGTTTTGACCCTGTAACCTATTTAGGGGCTCGCCGCTAAGGGAATTGTCGAGGGAGGAAGGCAGTTCCTGTCCGTCAGAGCTAGGTTGATCAGTACTGGGGAGGGTTGTGGCGCCCTGTTACCCTAGCAGAAGGGGGTATGAGATCAAGTGAGTTCTGGTATGAGGACTGAAAGCCTGGACCGACGCCCCATCTGTT